TTTACTATATTATTTTGCTGCCATTGTAGAATTGTAGTACCCTTAAAGTATTCTCAGCTCCTTGGGGAGTGCATTAAGAGGTCCAAGGCTTGTTAGTTTGAGTAAGCAGTCTTGATTTGTATTTCTTTATTTATTTATTTTTGGCAAATGGTGGATTCTGGTACTGTGAATATCAGGAAAAATGTGCTAAAGATATTTCTCACAAATGAATATGCAAGATCCACCAAAAGGACTTTTTTTTTCTAAATCAATCGCTCTCTGATACACACTCCCACCTCTAAACTGTAGAGGGGATAATTAAGAACATGTCTCATAGTATCTCTGTCACGGAATAAAACAAGGCATTAATTCTTAGTCCAGAACATCATAAGCAGTTGCTTTATGATCAGGTCCTACTCCAAGGCTGTTAAAGCCATCTTCCACTCGCCAATGTTTCCATTAATATGTAAAAGCTTAAGCTTGCTAAAGGGATTATTTCACATCCTATCTGATTGTAAACTGGCATTTCAATGATTACATGTATCTTTTTGTCATTTTCTCGTAAAACATCTTACTCTTGAGCAGCATAATTGGCCTCTTACTAATGTTTAATGAATGATTAAATCAGCATAAATGCAACATACAGCTTTACATGGAAAGCATGTTTGCAACCTCCAGGGCCACAGAGATGGTGTTTTTACACTACTGTTTTTAAATCTTTATAGTTGACTAATAGTATGCTCTTTGGTATATGTTGCATTACTTCTATGGGAGCGGGGGAGTTTTCCTATATGTTATACAGTGGCAAAAAATTTATTAATCACACGGTGTGGGGGGTTTCACTCAGAGGCCAGCAGGCCCAGTGGGCAGCCCAGGGCTCATCAAGTCCCCGGTGCCCCAGAGTTCTCACTATAAGGGGGAGAGTGGGGGAGGGAGAGAAGGTAGGAGGACCCAGGCCCTCCCTCTCCACCAGGTCCCAGCCAAGGGGCCAAAGGGGAGAGGCATGGAATGTCTTGGTCTCCTCTTCCTGACTGCCTGTCTTGGGCCAGTTCCTACTTCCCCACTCTCTCTTCAGTCTGGGGTGTGGTTGCAGCCCCTTGTCCCACCAGCGGGAGTTCCCAATCAGTCCTTGCAGTTGTCAATCAGTCAACAGAGCATTCCCAGCTCTCTTCCTAGTGTCCAGTTATTCTCCCCCAGCAAGGAGTGAGGGAGGAAAAAGAGGTAGGCCCCTATCCTCCCAGTGGCATCTTACTCATGCTCCAGCCTCTCTGCAATGGGTCACTTTGTCACCAGAAGCTACAAACTGGCTTCCTCCCTTCAACCAGCCTCTCCTTCACTCTCCCCCCCTGCTTGACTGTCAAAGTCCGCTTTTGAGCAGACCCTTCATTTGGAGCATGCTCCACAGCTGCTGAGGGGTGGGGGCCTATTGGTCCAGTACTGCTTCATCATTCCCTTACTCTCTGTGTGGGGCCTGTAAACCCCATCATACGCCTTCCCCCTCAGGACTGGTGTTGCAGGGTTGGTGTGTGTTGACAAGTTTCCTCTGTCCCATGAGAAGAAGTCTGCATTCTTGTGATCTTTTCCTGCTAGTGCAACACCTCAAACCAATATGGCTGCTGTCAGAGCATGAGCTGAGTGGTGCGGTCTTTCCTGGCATGTAACCACAGAAGTGGTCCATGGCCCATCACCAGGTGGAATGGCTGGCCCCAAGGGCCTTGAGAGCCCACTTCACTGCCAGAGTCTCCTTCTCAACTACTGAGTATGAGACATCTTGGGGAAACAATTTTCAGCTGAGGTAAGGATTGGGTGTTCTACTCCTTCCACCTCCTGGGACAACATGGCCCCCAGGCCAATGTCTGAAGCATCAGCCTGTAAGTCAAAAGTCTTTGAAAACTGGGGTGGAACAAGCTAAGTTCTCAAGCCAACTGATCCTTCAATATTCTTAAAGCCTTAAATCTTGAGAGCACCAGACCTACTTGGGGGCTGTGTCTTTCACCAAGTTCGTAGAAAGGCAGCAATTATGGTGAAGTTTGGAATGAACTAGCTATAATACCCTGCTAATCCCAGGAAATGTCATACCTGCCTTTTTGTGGTGAGCATGGGGCATTCTGCCAAGGCTTGTACCTTTCCCACCAGGGGGTGTAGGCATCTCCACCCCACTGCAAGTATATCACCTCTTGGTTAGCTGAGAGGCACTTGGATGGGTTGGCTGTAAGCCCCATGCTTTTGAGAGCCTGCAGGACCACAGTGACATGTTTCATGCGATCATTCCAAGTCCTGCTAAAATCCTTTTCTTGACTTGTCCATTGGCATTCCAGGCAAGAGAGACAGAACTCTTGCACTTCTTTGTGGACACATGGCCAATAGAGCTGGAGTGTCACTCTGTCAAGTTTTTCTACCAACTGAGGTGTCCCCCACCGGATATTGTGTATGACAACCATAATATTTCCCTCCGGTACTGGATTTGCAAGCATTCATTGGGCCTGGTGAGGCTAGATGTCTTTGTAAGAGTTTGAAATACTGAGTCACCTCACTATAAATATTTTCTGCACACTTTTCACAGGCACATTTTTGAAATCAGGATCATTGTTATAACTCTTAACAAAAGATCCTCCAAATCAGTGAATAGTTTCTATTTGGCCACTTTCTACCACTAGTAGAATTCTTCAGTTCCACACAAACGCTTTCTGGTGCCTCCCAAGGCTGTAGAACATATCAAAAGCTGGTGCCCTTCCCAGAAGAAGGAACTTCACATCTGTGTCCAAAACATGGAGGGCAAGAATGTTCGGTTCCATCTACTTCCCATACAGTGTCTAGATACCACCGTGACTGGCACACTGGAAACACATAGAGTGAATAGATTTTTTTCCTTTGTATAATCCTGTCATTCACACTGACACACACAGAGACCTTCTGTCTCTTTTCGAAATCCCCATCCCTCTTTATAAAGGAAGGCTAAAATGAGCTCTATTTAGATGGTTGTTAATTTAACCCTCCATCAGCCAGTAAGGGATGCTGTTGAGCAAAAAACCAATAATGTCCAGACAGAATGATGGGGTACATAAATGGCTCATTAATTTATTAAGTACACAACAGGAAGTGTCATCCAAGGGACAGAGGACCTGATCCAAAGCCCATTGAAGTTAACGGGGCACTTTCCACCAACTTCAGTGGGCAGTAGATCAAGTCAGGAGAAGGTCACTCACTCCCAGTTGTCCAGGAAACAAGCCTGGGGGGTTATATTAAGGGTTTGCCCCCAATAATGCATAGCGCGTATAGAAAAAAGCATGAAAGCTGCTGAAATGTCATGGGCTAGATTCTCCTACCACACCAGTTTTTCACTGGTGTAATTCCACGTTTACATTGGTGAGAGGAAAGCTAGGCCGAATGTATATCTTCCTGCTAGCTCTATATTACCTGCAGTGTTGAGAAGGAAAATTTTGTCTGCAAAACCTCTGAGCAAAGTACCACAGTACAGCAGCGTTGTTAGGTCATGGACCAGGTATGTGGCATTTCTGTGCTTCCTCTCTGTAGTAAGCAGGAAGAATGCTTGACACAGATTGAGAAGCACAGACAGCTAAACATTAAGCCCTCCAGCATCACTCAGATTATTCATGTCAGTTACTCTATTCCACTCAAAGTAAATTTAGTTAGCATCAAATTACAGACTGGCTTATACAAAAATTCAGGTTCAGTTAGAGGCTAAGTGCATCAAAAGGAACTGTCAAAGCCTGACATCTTGTTTGGTTAGAACACTGCAGTAAGACTACTCTTGCAAACACGATCAGCTGGCTAACTTTCTGTACCAGATCTGAATTAGCACCTGTTCTCAAGTTATTGAACGAGAGTCGACTTGTGCCAACAAAGCTTAGCACATACTTATTTAGTCAAAATAGAGTCCAGCAGGTTAAAAGAAAATAACGACAGGCAATTGCTTTAAAAACATTAATATTTACTCAAAGCAATTCAGGTTCAGAAAAGCTGCTTAAAGTATTTTACAGCACATTTGATGGCGTGGTTAGTGATACGTGTAACACATGGGAGACCAGCAAACAACCTGAGGATTTTCTGGGACTGGTGCAGAGGTGACATTCCTACAGTGTATGGGCAGAGGATCAAGATTGCTTTTGTGTCTCTGAAACACTCTTAATTAATGGGTAGCAGCCCTAGAGTAGGCTATCTGACTGGATTTCTTTTTGCAGGATGTGGCCTGAGTATTATTTAGGTGGGTGTTTTTTAAGGGTGGCCAAAATCATATTACAAAAAGTACTTATAAGAATACGGCTTAAAGGTAAAAGGATGGCATGCTTAGGGTAGATATAAAAAAAGAATATGCGAGTGGTAAGAATAAATATATAAATAAATAATTTCTATAGCAGCTTTCAACTGAGGATTGCAAAAGACTTCAGCAACATTAACCAATTAACTCTCACAAAACCTGTAGGAATTAACAAGGAATGCATGCACGCTTCTTTTCACCCACTACAGAAATGCATCCACAGTAGCTGGGCAAAATTTTTAATTGAAAATTCTCTTTTTAAATGAAAATGCGCCTTTTTTTCTATATTGAAAACTTCCATAAAAAGCGTTTAATAACATTAGAATGGCCATACTGGGTCCCAATGGTCCATCTATCCCAGTATTCTGTCTTCTGACAGTCGCCGGTGCCAGATGCTTCAGAGGGAATGAACAGAACAGGGCAATTATCAAGTGATCCATCCCCTGTCATCCAATCCCAGTTTCTGGTGGTCAGAATTTTAGGGACACTCAGAGTTTGGGGTTGTGTCCCTGACCAGGGCCGGCTCCAGGGTTTTGGCCGCCCCAAGCGGCGCAAAAAAAAAAAAAGCGGCGATCGCGATCGGCGGCGGCAATTCGGCAGGAGGTCCTTCGCTCCGAGCAGGACCCCCGAATTGCCGCCGAATAGCTGGACGTGCCGCCCCTCTCCGGAGTGGCCGCCCCAAGCAACTGCTTGGCAAGCTGGTGCCTGGAGCCGGCCCTGTCCCTGACCACCTGGGCTTTCACTTTTGGAAAATGTTCAGGTTTTCATCGAACCAACATTTTCAAAATTGTGTTTTTTCCTTTGAGTTAAGCAATAGGCACACTGTGGAGTTTTGAGGGAACGGTAAATTCTGCAAAACCTACAAGAAACACAAAATGTGTCTGAGAAAACGGAGTTAGGATAATAGTTTTTGTGAAATACTGAATGGATAATTAGGCATAAATGAAAGAATGACCATGCTTTCCAGCTACTGAGAAGGTGGCAGACACACTGTTCTGTGCATTTCATATACTCAGCTAAGCGGCCGTTTTTACATTTTACAAAAACAATGGTAAATAATCAGGTGGTGTCAAATCCTTCAGGCATCCACTGAACTGTCACTGAGGAAATCCTCATCAGTTGGGTTTGAGGGCTTCACATGAACCATAACAATATCCACTAAGCTGCTGTATTTGCACTCTGCCACAGTACAGTAGCTTCAGTCAACACGGCTACCTGGAGACGACTGACTTCAAACATTGTTTATTAAGCAAACACCCACCTCACTGCTGAAAAGACAGACAAGGAAAGGAGAGAGAAAAAGATGGTTGAGTATCAGCGTGTGACAGAGCAATGAGACAAACTGGTCAAGGACACTGAATAGTCAATGGCAAACAGTTTACTGCAGGGATTATTTGGCTGGAAGCGTCTGGTAGAAATGGGGCAAGATGAAATGCCTAATGTACTAAGATACTATAACTTGAGGGCACTGTTGGAACATAGTTGACAGTGACATGGAGACATGCTTTCTTTTAGTCCAAGTCCCCATCTCAAGAATTACTGGGGCTTCTTGAACCACTCGGGCTCAGTCCACAAAGTATTGTATAATAATGCCAACTACCAACACAACACACGGTATCAGAGATGGGTGAACTGGTGTGGTTAAAAAAAACAACCCCGACCTATGCTTCAGCCCTTTCCCCCAGATGAACCACACCCAAATTTACCAAAGTGATGGAGAACAGTTATCCCCTGTCTCTTTCTAACTCCATCTTCTCAGTCCCAAACTTGGCCCCTCATTACCCGCAGCAACCCCCACCCCATCCTTACCCCATTCCCAGACATGGCCCCTGATTCCCCACACTATCTTTCTCCCTAGCCTCACTGGACTGAACAGCTATCTATCTAGGTACTTATATGGCCCCCCTTACTGCACTATTTGAACATCACATAACATTTAGCGTATTTATCTTCACAACATCCCTGTGAAGTAGGGAAGTGCGATTATCCCCATTTTATAGATGGAAATGGAAGTACTAAGATACTAAGTGACTTACCCACACTCACACAGGAAGCCGGTGGCAGAGCAGGGAGTTGACCTCATGCCTCCCGAGTCCCAGATTAGTGCCCAACCTTCCTCTCTGAGCAGCTTAGGCCCATCCATTCTTGTAGCCATTCCAGATGACTAACGGATGCACACCCAACATATCAGAGGCCCATTGGGATGCTGGAAAACGTGCCACGGTTACATCAGTGGAGCCAACTAGCAAGTGCCAAAGGGGGATGAGTAGGCCTGGGAAAGAGAAGAGGCAGAGAGAGGGATGGGAGGCAGAGAAGGAAGGAAGGAAAGACGAAACCTCAAAAGGTTCAGATAATTTCAGAAAATTACTCAGCCTTTTCTGGTTTCCTCAAACCAGCCTGCTAAATCTTGTCCATCATTGCAGCATTCTGCACTATGGGCACCATATCAGAATGAAAGGGACCTCAGGAGGTCATCTAGTCCAACCCCTGCTCAAAGCAGGACCAATTCCCAACTAAATCATCCCAGCCAGGGCTTTGTCAAGCCTGACCTTAAACACCTAAGGAAGAAGATTCCACCACCTCCATAGGTAACCCATTCCAGTGCTTCACCACCCTCCTACTGAAAAAGTTTTTCCTAATATCCAACCTAAACCTCCCCCACTGCAACTTGAGACCATTACTCCTTGTTCTGTCATCTGCTACCACTGAGAACAGTCTAGATCCATCCTCTTTGGAACCCCCTTTCAGGTAGTTGAAAGTAGCTATCGAATCCCCCCTCATTCTTCTCTTCTGCAGACTAAACAACCCCAGTTCCCTCAGCCTCTCCTCATAAGTCATGTGCTCCAGCCCCCTAATCATTTTTGTTGCCCTCTGCTGGACTCTTTTCAATTTTTCCACATCCTTCTTGTAGTGTGGGGCCCAAAACTGGACACAGTACTCCAGATGAGGCCACACCAATGTCAAATAGAGGGGAGTGATCACGTCCCTCGATCTGCTGGCAATGCCCCTACTTATACAGTCCAAAATGCCGTTAGCCTTCTTGGCAACAAGGGCACACTGGGGCACAGAGAAAGACCAGAAGTGATAGTAAAAGGTCACAAATGAGCAGGAAAGCCTATTGCTTCTTCACTGATCTACAGGGCAGAGAGAAGCTGGACAAGCTGCCAGTGTCTGTGTCTTCACTGGGGGAAGGTGTGGTGCTGCCCTCTCTAATAAACTGTTGGTATTGCAGCTAACATGGAGGTTGCTGTTAACAAGTGAGCTTTAGCAGTTTGTGCGTGTGCAGGTCATGCATGTAATATAATGTGCTTCAGACGTCCTTTCTAAAAGGACAAAACCTTCCAACCCACCTGCCAGTGCAGAGACTGGCAATTTAGAACTATTGCAGATGGATGAGCAAAACCACAGCTGGCATTTCTGCTTGCATTTAGACAATTAAATAGCTTGCCAGCAGCTGTGTTTTTGGAAGTGATCATTCCCTAAATATTTCACAGAGGGACAGAGAACTGCCCATAGCCACTAAATATTCACAAGGATTAGCACCCGCACCAGAAAACTCTCACAACCCAAACCTAACTCTAACTCAGGGGTCGGCAACCTTTCAGAAGTTGTGTGTCGAGTCTTCATTTATTCACTCTAATTTAAGGTTTCGCGTGCCAATAATACATTTTAACGTTTTTAGAAGGTCTCTTTCTATAAGTCTATAATATATAACTAAACTACTGTTGTATGTAAAGTAAATAAGGTTTTTAAAATGTTTAAGAAGCTTCATTTAAAATTAAATTAAAATGCAGAGCCCCCTGGACCGGTGGCCAGGACCCGGGCAGTGTGAGTGCCACTGAAAATCAGCTTGCGTGCCGCCTTCTGCACACGTGCCATAGGTTGCCTACCCCTGCTCTAACTCTTGGTTACCATCCGCTTCCGTAACTTCTTCAGAACTGGTCTGGAGATTGCGTTTAATGGGATTAGACAAATACAGTCACTGACACTTACTGGAGTTTTTCCTCATTTGTTTTAGTTTGCATTCTCAAGAGTTCAGCATTTCCAAATATTTTAATTTGAAAAGAGGATTTTGTTGAAAAACAACAAAAATGGTGCCTCCCAAGACAGTCTTAGCCTGCCCTGGTGAAGGTAGAAACGAGGGTATTCAAACAAAGGGAGCAGCGAGTGATTCTTCCCACATCACTACAACACATAGAGAAAGGATCGAGGAAAATGGAACAGCAGCAGTGCGAAATATACATACATATTCAGGCCCTTTGTCAAAAAACCCTGTGCCGCAGCATTTCAATTAACAAAGTAGGATGGTTTACCTGATAAAATGCTCCCTGTGTGAGTGTAATTACATATTTATGTCCCACAGAGATTTTTTAATTTCTATTCAGTTTGTTTGCCTTGAAAGTATTTGTCACTGGAAATGTTCTTGATGTGTAATTTTAAGGCAGTGTTGGCCAAATGTGTGACTTGTTTTCATTTTAGATTTATTTCCGTGAGGAAGGGTTTGAAGATGATGCCTCTTTCCAGGACAAAAAAAAATTAATTTCAAGAAGAAAGATGATATTTCAACAAGCAGCAGAAAAAAATATATGAAAAGGACACTGTCAAGTACCCCTTGTATAGTTTTCAGTGTCTGTTTTTCATCCTTTGTTGTTCATAATACACTCTCAGAAGCTTGAAGTAACTTATTACTTTTCCAGTTTTATTCTTTTCTACTTGGAAAACACTGAATCTTCCTTCTGTGTTTCAATAAGCTGAAATTAACCATCCTTTTGTTTGTTTGTTATTTTCTTGTTTATCTGTCAGTATCATCAGTGACCTGGCAAGATCATGGAATGGGGTTTGTTTCTTTTCTTGGGGTTTCATTGCCTGATATGGGGCTTTAATGCTGAAGAGCCACCTCTCCAGTAAAGCACTAATACACGTGTATAACTTTAAACATGCGAGCAGTCGCATTGACTTCAGTGGGGCTGTTCACATGCTTAAGTACTTTGCTGAATCAGGGCTTTTCTTCTCTTGTGCCTCTCTGTTCCATGGGGAACAAAGGGCCTTCACCATTGTCTTTCCATCTTTGCTGGTCTCCCACTGCAGTCTTAGCTTCTCCCCATGTCATTTTGATACCTTTCAATTCTGCTTCCATTGTGCATGTCCATGTTATCCTTGGGCTACCTCATTGTGTCTTGCCCTGCAGGTTCCAGTCCAACATCTGTCTTATGTTATGTTACTTGGGTCTTTCCTCCATACATGTCCTAGCCATGTCTATCTTCATTCCATAACTTCCTGTCCTTTAGGCTTCTGTTTCATCGTCCTCCAGAGTCCTTCATTTGTGATTTTTTTCTGGCTATCTGATATTAATGATTTTCCTAAGGCAGACATTTATGCAAAATTGGAGTTTAGATAGTAAGATTTTAATAAGTCTCCAAGCATTAGCACCATATAATGACTTTTCAATGGTGTTAAAGATTCAAAGTTTAGTTTGGAGGGCAAGATTCATTTTTCTCCAGATCACCTCCAGAGTTACAAATGCATGTCCAGCTTTCACCATTCTGGCTTTAATGTCTGTGTCTGTTCCACTTGTTGTACTTATTATGCATAGCTTCGCAGCATTGTATCGTACCTCTGCTATGTCAGTCCCAACAGCGTTACTGGTGTTTCTTGTTGTGTGTTGATTGTCACAGTTTTAGTTTTCTCTATGTTGATTTTCAACCCTACTAACTGTGGATAGGCCTGGAAATTATTTGTTTAGATTTGCATGTTCCTATGGGTACAGGATAGCAAGGTGATATCATCTACAAAGTCCTCCTCTAATTTCTGTGTGAAAGTTCATTGTATGCCCCTTGGTTGTTCTATCATCTCTCGTTACCCAATCCACTACCAGTAAAAAGATCATGGGTGACACAAAACGTCCTTGTCTGATGCCCATGGTAACCTGAAATATCTTAGTCAGTTCCCTGTTATGTAGTACTTGGCATGTCATAGATTCACAGAAGCTCTGAATGAAGATCACAGATTTCTGAGAGACTCTGTAGCAGCATAGCAACTTCCATAAAACTGTTCCATCCATTGTATCAAAGGCTTTTTGGAAATCTATAAAATTCATATAAAGTGGTGACGGCCATTTGATCAACAGTTCTATGGTGACACGTAGGGTTATTATTTGACCTATACATATTTTCTTCAGCCTGAACCCTGCCTGTTCTTCTTGTAACCTTGAATCTATCTCTTTCTTTGTTCTGTCCAGACCAATATGTGTAAATACCTTTCTTGGACTAGACAGCAATTGAATGCCCCTTCAGTCTTTAAACTGACTGAGGTCTCCTTTCTTTGGTAGCTTCATTATATGACCCTTTTCCCACTCATTTCATATTTTTTTCTTTTTCTGGACCAGGGCCTAGAAAAATAAAAATATTGTGAGGTCATCACCAAACACGGTTTTGTTTTGTGCTTAATTTCTGAGCGATTGAAAATTGAGGCAAAGACATTTGACAGCTACTACAGTACTCAGCAACCCCAGGTTGGGATTATCCATGATGAGCAGGATTTACAAAGGTATTTATGCTCCTAAATATGCAGCGAGACACCGTTGTAAATCGCACAAAGCATCTAAGCAGGTTGGGCACTTAACTCCAATTGAAAGTCATGGCAGGTAGGTGCCTAATTCACTTAGATGCTTTTGAAAATCCCACTAGGCACCCATCTGTATCTTTAGGAGCCTAAGTACTTCTGTAAACATAGCCCATTAGAATTATTTATACAGAAATGGTATTAGCTTTCCTTACTTATTTCTGTGAACTTTTTCAAAGAGACAATGACAATGTACAAACAACTCAAGATTTTGCCATTCATGGCTGGAGAAAAGCGTTAAAGAGACCTGGGGCCACTGCTAGTGAAGAACCTCAATGTCTCCCATTCAGAAAGATCTGCCTAGCAGCTATCTTGAAATATACAATAGTCCAGCCAGTGCTTGAGAAGCCATCACATAGCAAACTCTCTCACTAAGGCCATGTCAACACTACCAAATTACGTCAACCTACGTTATGTCAGCATATAACCACCACATACATTGTTTGTGCGTGTGCATATTACGCTTCTTGGGTCAGCTGTGCACGTCCTCACCAGGACTGCTTGTAGCAATGCACAGTTCAGCATGGGGCATTGTGGGAAACCTCCTGGAGGCCAATAACAGTCGACATAAGTAATGCAGTATCTACACTGACACTGCGTCAACCTAACTACATTAACTGTGAGTCTATGCCGCTTGGGGAGGTGGTATTA